AATCCAATGTCTTCACCGGCCTATGTGTAAATGTATAACGTCTGTTTTATGTTGCTTTGCTGTGGTAGGTTTTTTTGATGCCTCAAATTGTGACCTAAGACACGGTGTGAGAGATCTTTATTATACCGTCTCTCCTCATGTTTTCTTTCCTTTTCTCATCTAAGCAAAATATTATTCTGAATAAGAATAAGAGGGCCGCGCTAATTATTTATACTGTAGCTGCAGCTTCGTGCACTCCACCCATCTTCGGACGATTGTACGTATATATTCACGTTGTATCTCAGTGCAATGCCAATAAAGTTTATTCTGATTCTGATGTCCAGAACAGATCTCATCCCTACACGCAGAAGGTCAGGAAATTCTGATAAAAAATGTAATTTCCAGGGTTCCAGAAGGAGAGGAAAACACAGGGTTCTACTCTCGTCACTTTCTGGTCCCAAAACTGACTGGAGGGATGAGACCCATCTTAGATTTGTCAATTCTCAACTGTGGGACAACATTTCCATTCAAAATGCATTGAGTTGGCTCTGCAGCCGCTACACAGAGCAGGGAGGAGAATTCTGTTTTATCTGGACAATCTGTTGCTGCTGACCCATTTTTCCAGACAGGTGGCAGCAGTGCAACTCACGTGAAACTGGCAGAGTGATATCAGCTGTTTCCATCATGAAGGTATTAAGGACATATCGCCTGCTCACACGGTGCAACGCCTCCAGAGGTGGTTCGCTCGTTTGCGTGTGGACCCGTTGAGGCAGAAGAGATGGTTTGTTCGCTGTGCCCCCCTCCGTGAGAATCGACCTGAGACACTGGAAAACCCTCTTTTTCTGTCGGAGGGAGTTCCCGTCAGCAAACCTACGTCACACGTGTCAGTCTTCACAGATGCGTCCCTGTCAGGTTGGAGAGGCACATGCATGTCTCGAGCTGTGGGGGCGCTGTGGCCACCCCACACAGCAGCTCATATAAATGTTTTTGGAGTGTCGCACGGTTTTGAATGTGATTCAACACTTTGCCTCTGTGCTGCGGAATCGACATGTGTTGAGTCACACAGACAACAAGGTGACTGCTGCATACATAAATGGGCAAGGGGGTGTGCTCTCAGACCAAGTGTTACACATTGTGAGTCAGCTGCTGTGTTGGGCACACCAAAATCTGCTCCCCATCAGAGCAGTGTACATCCCCTGTGTTCTGAACAAGGGGGCGGATGTGATGTCCAGGGGCGGTCCGCGTCACGGGGACTGGAGCCTCTATCCCGACAACACGAGAGAACGCCCAGTGTCAATTATGGTTCTCACTGAGCCCACGGGACGAACCACCGCTAGGGGTGGACGCGTTTGCTCACAGCCCATGGCCCGAAATGCTTCTTTACACATTTCCCCTACCCCCTCTGATATTACGGTTTCTGAACCGAGTTCAGGAGGAGGGACTGACAGCTCTCCTGGTGGCTCCCGAGTACGCGAATGCCCCTTGGTTCCCAATTCTACGACGCCTGTTATCGGGGCGCCCGTGGTAACTGCCGTGGAGGGAGGACGCTCTCCTCCAGGCGGGAGGAGCGATCAGGAGTTACCCAGAAATAGGCCAGTACCTTTAAGTCTGGCCGCTGAACGGTTCCGTTTGGAGAGGATGGGTCTCTCTCAAGATGTAGTGTGCAGGATTCATGTGCTGCCTCCACCACAGTGCTGTACACATCAAAGTGGACAGCTTTTCAGCGCTGGTGTACAGAGAAAGGTGTAGAGGCCACTTCATGTCCACTAGGTGGCGTGCTGTCCTTTCTGCAGCAGCTGATGGACAGAGATCCGGCATTCAGCACGATTAAAACGTAGGCTGCAGCCATCTCTTCCTGTCACAAAGGTTTCGGGGACAGAACAGCTTTTAATCACCCGCTGATGAAGCGTTTTTTAAAAAGTGTACAGAGACACAGGTCTGTATCACGCCCACTTGCTCCACAGTGGGATTTGATGCTGGTTCTGCGAGCCCTGGTCAAAGCTCCATTTGAGCCATGGAATCAGGTTCCACTTAAATTCTTGTCTCTTAAAACAGCCCTGCTGTTGACTTTGACATCCGCTAAGAGAGTGAGTGATTTATCTGCCCTCTCTGTCGCTCCGTCATGTCTTAGAATTCAGGCTGACGGCATCTCAGCTGATCTGAGACCTAATCCAGCGTTCATGCCTAAAAACATCACGAGCTCTTTTAAATCAAGAGCGATATAATTGGAGGGGTTTTTCCCTCCCCCCCACAGATCAGAAGTAGCGTCTTTTCATCTTCTCTGTCCGGTGCGGGCGTTGACGTGTTACATAGCGTGCACAGCTGCAATGCGTCAAACTCAACATTTGTTTGTGCATTATAGAGATGCATCTGCAGGTCGCCCGTTATCCACCCAGTGCCTGTCACACTGGCTGTGTGAGGCCTTTTTTGAAGCCTACAGAGCATCAGATTTAGAGCCTCCTGCCAACCTCAGAGCACACTCGACCAGAGGTATCGCATCTTCGACTGCTTTGCTTAATGGTATGACAATGCAGTCTATTTGCACTGCGGCCGCAGGGTCAACACCCTTTTCATTTATTCGCTTTTATTGAAGTGATGTGACGGCTCGTTCCACGACACATTCTGTTCTTAGTGTTTTAACAGAATGAATATTGTTGTTTCATGGAACCTCGTTTAAACTCACATCTGACTGCATGCATTACAGTGTGAGATGTTGTTATCAGTCACAGGTTGTGACTGTTGTTCTTGTTCTATTGTCACTAATCAGTTCATGACTATTGTTATCAATCAGTTCATTTGATTAATAATCAGTTCATTTATTATTAATCTGTTCATATTGAAGAACTGTGGATCTGCTTGGTTCACAGCCTTTTTCAGCCTCTTCTTTTTCCCGTTGAAAATTTTTCTGGGGTGTTCATGCACTCAGAACGCGTAACTATGCAGCACGCATCTGTGCATGGTACGCGTAATTACGCAACGCGCAATTACGCACATGGAGAGCTGAGTGACAAGACATTTTTTGGGCAAGCAGGCGCTTCATATGGTGTTCGAATGGACCCAGTGAGGCGAGGACCACATCATGCTTTGCCTTTTAACCCACTAGCGAGGGCCTTAAAGGGCGAAGCCTATACTCATAGAATCTGGGGTTACAGTACGTAATCAACGGTTTTCATGGAAGAATCAGGAAGAATACATTGCATTAAATATGTGCGGACTCAATGAGAACTGAACTTTGCAAAAGGGCCTTCTCCTATTCCGCTCCTGTTTCTTGGAATATCTTACAAAAAGATTTGAAGCTCTCGACCTTGACCTCTCTAAGTGACTTAAAGAATCTGTTGGACTCCTGGCAGGGACCAATGCAGACATGTTCCTGTTTTTAGTTTTCTACATTCACCTTAGAATCTAGCTGTTTTTTGTTACTTTTCTTTTCTTTATTTTTGCCATCCATCCATTATCTTTACCCGCTTATTCCATTTTGGGTCACAGGGGTCGCCGGTGCCCATGTCTGGCAATCACTGTGCGAGGGGCGGGGTACACCCTGGACGGGTCGCAAGTCCATCACAGGGCCACATACAGACAAACGAGACAAACAACCATTCACTCTGTCACTCACACCTAGGGACAATTTAGAGTTACCAATCAGCCTAACATGCATGTTTTTGGTCTGTGGGAGGAAACCGGAGCACCCGGAGAAAACCCACGCATGCACGGAGAGAACATGCAAACTCCACCCAGAAAGGCCCCTGGACCGGGGTTTGAACCAAGGACCTGCTCGCTGAGAGGCAGCAGCTCTACCAGTTGCGCCACCGTGCTGCCTTTTTTGCCATCCTATTTGTTAAAAAAAAAAAAAAAAAATCTGTATGCCTTTTTATAACTGACTTTTGTTGTCCATTGTTGTCATCTTTCTTTGTTGAAATCAGGTCTCTCTTGTAAATGAGTCCTCGAGGCTCAATGGGATCTACCTGTCTAAATAAAGGTTGAATGAATGTCAGATCGTTTGTAATTTGTCCTCCAAACAATAATAAGTCTGTTCGACTTTTAATACGTTAGTCTTTAATAAGTAAGGTATGCACAGTGACTGCTGGGTATGGGCACCAGTGACTCCAGGGAAGAAGTGGATAAAGATAATGGATGGATGTTTGTTTTTATGGGATGTGTCCGTGATGTCTTGAGGAAAGTTCAGATTTCTGTATAAATATCTGAGATAGTACAGCTGAAAACAGGGTGAATTACTTTCTTTTTTTTTTTTTTTATCAGTTTTGATTGAGTTTGACCTTTGACCTGGATCAAGTTTTTAATTTCCCTCCCATTATTGTGCTTTGACACCTGCTGGGGGGAGTGGTGGCACAGAGGCTAGAGAAGGTGAGCCTGTGATCGGAAAGTCGTTGGTTCGACCCCCGGACCGACAACATTAAAATGTGGGTGGGAAATGTGAAACACCCACACCTGCCTCCACCCTCATTTGACTCACTCTGGGCCCTTGAGCAAGGCCCTTAACCCCCACCATCTGCTCCCCCAGGCACCCCAGATAGCAGCTCTCTGCTCCACACAGAGGGCTGTGGGAGCTCGGTGTCTGTGGTTCCGTCAGGAAGAACATCCGGTGTTAATAAAAAAAAAAAGCCAAGTCTTCATGTGATTTAGTTCGCTGTGATGACGCCTGAAGGAGGGAGCAACAGAAAGAAGGAAAACATAAAAATAAAGAAAAGCTAGCTTATCCACCATTCAAAAAAATGAAACTTGAAAATTATTATGATTGAACAAATTGTTTGAAAAAAGGGGCAGATATAATAAGATTTTTAATTCTTTCTGCTGCCTTTCATTTTAAATCTCCTGTATTTTTTTATATAGTTATGAAACTGCTTTGTATTTTTAAAATGAATAAACTTTATACCAAATACCAAAAAAACAACAAAACAAAATGAAGCATTTATGACTTTCAAAAACTATGTCACACCCCCAATTAGTGTAACAGTGGTTTGGCACCCCAACATGAAAGTGAGATTTTTCCATTGTTATTTCAGATGGTTCCAGGTACCAGTGCTCATCCTGGTACAAGGAGTGGCATCGCAACTCCCGGGGTTTTGTCAGCTCCTATCAGAGTAACTGACCGGCCCGTCACCCAGCAGGGTCTCAGTGGAATGAAGACTGGCATGAAAGGTACTCTTCAAGTTTTTGTAAAATTTGGCATAGGTTTTTATTTTATTATAATAATTTTTTTAGGATGTCTAACTTGTAACTAAAATGATGACACAGCATTATAGTCATTATTGAAGTACATGTATTTCCCACTCCCTTTTACACTACAACCACCTCTTGCCATCGTTTCCATCATGGAAGGGCCTCAGAGACAGATCCTGGATAAGTCCTACTACCTGGGTCTTCTTAGGTAACACATACTGACACTAACAATATTACAAGTTATCTTTACAGATCAAGTCTGTGTGACATGATATAACAGGAATTTTGCAAACAATGCATCAAGAAAGTAAAAATAAAATTTGAGAAAACTACATAGAAACAGGGAAATAAAAACAAATTTGAACTGAAGTAATTCTCGTTCTCTTTTGTAATATTGGGAATACTGATGTGGGCTTTGTTTTTAGGAGTAAAATCAATGAGTTGACTACAGAGACCAGTAAACTACACAAAGAGATTGAAAACTACAATCAAGAGAACTCGGTCTATCTCTCCTATGAAAAGAGGTTAGTACTTATTTTAATAATGTGTTATGTTGATTAAACAAAATTAAATAAAAGGGATGACAATTAGTGAATTGTAAGTTATATCCCAGCCTAAAGTCTGCTCGTTACTAAACCGTTGCTGTTTAATGTACTCCACAGAGCCGAGAGCCTCGCTACAGAGATTAAGGATCTGCAAGGCCAGCTTGCTGACTACAACATGGTAAGCAGCTGTAGTCTGTCATATATGGTCAAACAACCAGGAACAAAGAAAATCTATGTTATTTTACTTCTAGAGTTTTATAAATGAGATATAATAAACATCATCTGGTTTTTACCATGTTCTCTACGTGTGAAAACTAAGTACACCTTACAAATGATTTAGGAGAGAAAGTACCGGCCAGGTGCTGCTAATCAAATTCACTTAATTAACTGATGATCAGCAGTGTGTGTGGGCGGAGTAGGTGTGTTTGTTCCTTCTGAAGAGGAGACAGAGGAGATGAGAGGTGGCTTCCTCCACTTGCACAAGCAGTAGTGGTGTACAGTATGTACTGCAAAATCCCGCAATATAGTGAAAACTTTGAGATACAGAAATAGAAATACCTGTGATACAGTGAAGCTGCAGTAAGTGAACCGCGCTATAGTGAGGGACGACTGTATTTGGGGTTTATCATTCTAGAGTATTAACTTTTTTTCACAAGTAATAAACATTTAAGGTATCTGCCAGTCTTCAAAGAAGGGTGTTTTTCTGCAAACTCTCCCAAAGCTCAGACAGTCCCACTGCCAGCACAGTGGAGGAGAGGTGATGGTTTGGGCTTGATTTGTCACAAGACTGCAGCACCTTGCAGTAACCAAATTGACCAAGACCCCTCTGCATACCAAAGCATCCTAGCCGAAACCTAAATCTTAGCAGAAACTGGGCCATGAAGGCAGACAATGATCCCAAATGCATCTGCAACATCTACAACGGAACAGCTGAACAAAAAAAATATCAAGGTGTTGAAGTGGTCTAGTCAAAGTCCAATTCTCAACTTGTGACTGGAATTCTGTGGTGGGACTTATAAAAATAATGTTTTACATTATGTGTTGTTATCATTGTATGTTCCCATACAATGGTGAAATTGGCTCTCTGCATTTAGCTCATCCACCACCAGGTGGTGCAGTGGGCAGCCATTGAATGTGACTGGGGAGCAATTTGGGGATAGTGTGTGCTGCTCAGAGACACCACGAGATGTGCAATGACTTTAGGAGCTGTGCAGAAAACTGCCTGCAAACCTCAATGAACAAAAGCAATACTGAAAATAAAGAGCGAGTCAAAGTTCCTTCACAGCCATGAGAGAGGAGCAAATTATTGATGAAGTCTGAATGAACATGACCACTGAGAGTTACTGCTGCTAAAGGATGGTCAACAATTAATTCATGAGGTGGACTTAGAGTTTCACACACATCTTTGTCATTTTGGCTTTGGTTTTTTTTATATATAACTGAGCTTGTGAAATCTGTCTTGTGGTTTTGGATCCCTATAATTATAGATTTTAATAATTAGACAACCTGATGAAGACCAGGTAGTTTTTATTATGTCGTACATAAAACCTTAGAATTGTAGAAATGTGTACTTTTTTCCATGTACTATTTACTAGAACAATTTGTCCAGTGTTCTTGTATAACAAATCTCCCATCTAGCAGCTAAACTATGTTAATGATATCCTGATGCATGCTCAATAATCCAGGTAGAAAAATCCAAAAAAGTTCAATCTGGTCCTCTGGACATTCAAAAACACAAAAAACAAAACAAAGCAAAAAAATGTAGAAACGTTTCGTCTCTCATCCAAGAGACTTCCTCAGTCTGAGGTGCTGTTTTCAGCTCAGTCTCTTAAATAGCACCTTCTCAGAGTGGATCAACCAGTTTCGCTGCTGACAACCAAAACCAGCTGATCACATGCTCAAGAAGGACCATCAGCCTAACAATGGGTCATTAGCACACTGATGGCTGTTTACTATTCACAGAAGACTGAGTGATACTAGCAATCACAGCATTGTAAGAGGGGGACAGTTGAACCCGGAGGCCTCCACCCCTGTTTAATGATGGACGATTTCTTTTCACAAAGATGGCCTCCTTTACTCCTCTCTCAAACCATCGTTCCTCTCTATCCAGGATGTGAACATCTTCATCCTTGAAAGAGTGACCGCTGGCCTGGAGATGAGTGTAGACCGCAGAATCCTGGCTTGATGATGTTGATCTTCTATGCTGGGCCATCCTTTTGGCCAGTGGCTGTTTAGTTTCCCCGATGTAAGACTGATCACAGCCCTCCTGACACTGAACAACATACACAACATTACTCTGTTTGTGCCGGGGGACTGGATCTTTGGGATGAACCAGTCTTTGCCGTAATGTATTTTGGGGTTTAAAAGCCACTGGGACGTTATGTTTAGAAAATAAACGTCTCAGTTTCTCTGATACCCCCTCAACATACGGAATGACCACTGGTCTGTGTCTGGGTTCCTCCTTTTCACCTGATGGCTGACTGGAGTCCTGTTTGGGTTTCTTCTCTGCTTTCAGGAAGGCCCAGTTAGGATATCCACATTGCTCTAGAGCCTGTTTTGTGTAGGATTTCTCCTTCTGCCTGGCTCCTGAGCTAGTGGGGACGCTGTCTGCTCTGTGATACAGAGTCCTGATGACTCCTAACTTGTGCTCCAAAGGGTGATGGGAGTCAAACTGCAAATACTGGTCTGTGTGGGTGGGTTTGCGGTACACCTCAGTTTGCAAATGTCCTCTATCAGAGACTGAGACCTCACAGTCCAAGAAAGCCAACCTGCCATTTTTTACATCTTCTCGTGTGAACTTGATGTATTTATCCACAGAGTTGATGTGGTCAGTAAAATGTTGGACTTCCTGAGATTTAATTTTAACCCAGGTGTCGTCAACATACCTGAACCAATGACTTGGTGGTGTCCCTGAAAAGGACGTCAAGGCTCTCTTTTCTACCTCCTCCATGTACAGGTTGGCAACAATAGGAGAAACTGGAGACCCCATAGCACACCCATGTTTCTGCCTATAATATTGCTCCCCATAT